TTAAGCATATGTTGCATGATGTGATGAGGCCAATTGATTGCTATATTATTTTTAAGCACCCATATCATAAAAATATCTTCATGCAATAACCTAGCAAAATTCCCTTGTCGTGGAGTCAACATATGCACAATAATATAATGCAGAAGCCTATCATTGATATTCAAACAACCCACCGTTAAAACACCTTGACCACCCTACAAATCTGGTATGATCATAGTAGCTAATGCCATGTCGCGATCATATGGAAAGTCCTGTGGGAGATTTTAATAACACAATTTCTGACCGGCGTACTTCAAGTTGGCTACATTCAACCAATCAGCAGGTTTGAATCTAATTTTTCTCTTATTGACCTCACTGAGCATATATCCATTTGATGATATCTTCAGATTTGAATAAAATACCTTGATTAAATCCGGATAGTAGGGTCCTTGTAATGTAAGAAATTGGCTCAACCATTGAAATAGAAGATGCTGCTGGAATAATAACCCAGAACCGGTAAATGAATCAAAATTCATTATCTTAGGAGGAACTATAGTCCTTGTACAAAAATCAGCTGCATAGTTTTCCATTTGATGACTGTGTGGGAAAAAACGACGCTGATCTAATTGCTCCTCTACAGATGGTCTTACAACGGGTGCATCTTCTACCTCAGTAAGAGTTTCTTTTCCCTTACGGCTTTTTCTTTGCCTTTTTGTTGATGATGAGGCCATCTGATAATGTCTTCAACAAATCATTTCATTAAAATAAGAAGAAAGTACATGATAAGATATCACTTATATTTCATAATAACAATGCATAACAACACATAAGAACAAATGTCATACATCGTAACCATTAACAGAACTACAAAATGACAACAACCATACAAATATAATAATTCATAACTAAATTACCGATACAGAATTTCATTTAATACTAATAGAAGTAAGTGTGTCATGAAGAATCCTAACAGTCACCGCCCGATATCATTTTCCATAATTTATTCCACCGCTTATGTGGTGGCAGTCCCATCAACCTCTTTGTACATGTGGGGTTTCCTCATAAGAAATCATAACATTGGTCCAGCAAATTCTCGTCAGCGATGTTCATAGAAGTCAACATTTCATAAATGTCCGCCTCTGTATATGTGTAATTCGGGTTGCGCCGGAGTATTTGATTTCTATCTTCCATTGCTGACACTTGACGCACGGCTGCATCAGAGATCACACCAAAATGAACATTTGATGAGCTAAGGACATTTGCGAAACCATCCAAGCTGGTGGTCAACTTATTAAACTGAGAATCAATAACATCGACCATAGGTGCCTTCCTTTTCGAGCCCCGTGAAGATGAAGTTCCAGCGGATGGGACGAAAGGCACAAATTGAGTTTGGCCTGGACTATATTCATCGACAGATGGCGGAGGTGATGGTGGAGTTGGGTCTCTATAGTCCGCCCACTGAGGCTGTTCTGGGATGTACTCAACATTTTGATTCAAGTCAACACTGACACGAGGACCAACCCGCTGTCGACGTGCCTGACGAGCAATTCGAACACCACTCCCGGTAGCTCGGTCAGCTGCCCATAACTCCACCATCAAATCGTAATGTTTTATGCTAGTGACTCTCCACTTTGCCGCAGCTGGCCTCGACTGATTAAAGAAAAAGCTTCATATTAACTATAATAACGAATTGACAAAATGTTAGGTAATCGTTTACAAATACCTGAATCAGGTCCATCCAAACTTCATCCTCAGCATGAAATGTCATACTAACCGGGTTCCACGCAAATCCACTCAATCCAGAAAACAAATCATGTACCTCACGCCATTTATCTTTCAAGACTTTCTGACGATTTTTAACATTATTTTTTGTTATGGCGACATACCCAACACTATTAAGATGATCAACTATGTTACTATAGGCTTGGGTTGTCCAGCTTCCGTCAACCCTATTACCGATTCGTGATTCGTCAATCATACAGTGTAGAAGACGTGCATCCATGTCCTCTGTCCACTTCATGAACTCTCTAGTCGGAGCAGAAGACTGACTCGCGGCTGCCTTACCTCTGTTCATTTAACCTATTTCATGCACAAAATAGTAACAAGTTAACATTAAACATTATTAATATTCTGTTCTTGTCATACACATAACACCAAATACTATTACAACACAATAAAATACAATAACTATGAGTATTGATACTCTTGCCACATATGATCAGCTATAGAATCCCTGATACTACTACCAATCCTATGGTCCTCTTCTCTAACTTGAGAGAATGAAACATTATGATCTTCCCTTTCATTCAACTCATTGTCAACTTCATCAAGTAACGAGTCATCATGATCAACACCACGAAGGAAGTTATGTAAGATACAACAAGCTAATATTATGTCTGTCATTGTCTGCAATCCATAGTGTGGTTCAGTGCCACTTGCAATGATAGGGAATCGTTTCTTCAACACACCAAAAGTTCTTTCTATAACATTTCTCAACGATGAATGTCGATGATTAAACAACTCGCGTGCATTTTGNCATACCCTGCATTCTGTGTCTCAAGTCTTGTACTCCTTCCCACATTTGAGTGATCATGTTAGCATTAGATAGAGGAGGATGAGGAGGCTGCACAGTGTGGTGATGAGGGTCTGCTTGGTCTTCTTCTTCATCATCATCCAGATAGTGTTGCCAAACACCGTTGACATTAATAATTTTCATCCTCTTCAAAGAATTGATAGAAAAGTGATGTCGGGACCCTATATGAGTGGTGGCATCGGCATCGACGTGAACTCCACAATATTGCATGATGTGTGTGATAAGGACACCGTATGGGAGGGGTGTGTCACTGGCCTTGCATTTAAGCATATGTTGCATGATGTGATGAGGCCAATTGATTGCTATATTATTTTTAAGCACCCATATCATAAAAATATCTTCATGCAATAACCTAGCAAAATTCCCTTGTCGTGGAGTCAACATATGCACAATAATATAATGCAGAAGCCTATCATTGATATTCAAACAACCAACCGTTAAAACACCTTGACCACCCTACAAATCTGGTATGATCATAGTAGCTAATGCCATGTCGCGATCATATGGAAAGTCCTGTGGGAGATTTTAATAACAAAATTTCTGACCGGCGTACTTCAAGTTGGCTACATTCAACCAATCAGCAGGTTTGAATCTAATTTTTCTCTTATTGACCTCACTGAGCATATATCCATTTGATGATATCTTCAGATTTGAATAAAATACCTTGATTAAATCCGGATAGTAGGGTCCTTGTAATGTAAGAAATTGGCTCAACCATTGAAATAGAAGATGCTGCTGGAATAATAACCCAGAACCGGTAAATGAATCAAAATTCATTATCTTAGGAGGAACTATAGTCCTTGTACAAAAATCAGCTGCATAGTTTTCCATTTGATGACTGTGTGGGAAAAAACGACGCTGATCTAATTGCTCCTCTACAGATGGTCTTACAACGGGTGCATCTTCTACCTCAGTAAGAGTTTCTTTTCCCTTACGGCTTTTTCTTTGCCTTTTTGTTGATGATGAGGCCATCTGATAATGTCTTCAACAAATCATTTCATTAAAATAAGAAGAAAGTACATGATAAGATATAACTTATATTTCATAATAACAATGCATAACAACACATAAGAACAAATGTCATACATCGTAACCATTAACAGAACTACAAAATGACAACAACCATACAAATATAATAATTCATAACTAAATTACCGATACAGAATTTCATTTAATACTAATAGAAGTAAGTGTGTCATGAAGAATCCTAACAGTCACCGCCCGATATCATTTTCCATAATTTATTCCACCGCTTATGTGGTGGCAGTCCCATCAACCTCTTTGTACATGTGGGGTTTCCACATAAGAAATCATAACATTGGTCCAGCAAATTCTCGTCAGCGATGTTCATAGAAGTCAACATTTCATAAATGTCCGCCTCTGTATATGTGTAATTCGGGTTGCGCCGGAGTATTTGATTTCTATCTTCCATTGCTGACACTTGACGCACGGCTGCATCAGAGATCACACCAAAATGAACATTTGATGAGCTAAGGACATTTGCGAAACCATCCAAGCTGGTGGTCAACTTATAAAACTGAGAATCAATAACATCGACCATAGATGCCTTCCTTTTCGAGCCCCGTGAAGATGAAGTTCCAGCGGATGGGACGAAAGGCACAAATTGAGTTTGGCCTGGACTATATTCATCGACAGATGGCGGAGGTGATGGTGGAGTTGGGTCTCTATAGTCCGCCCACTGAGGCTGTTCTGGGATGTACTCAACATTTTGATTCAAGTCAACACTGACACGAGGACCAACCCGCTGTCGACGTGCCTGACGAGCAATTCGAACACCACTCCCGGTAGCTCGGTCAGCTGCCCATAACTCCACCATCAAATCGTAATGTTTTATGCTAGTGACTCTCCACTTTGCCGCAGCTGGCCTCGACTGATTAAAGAAAAAGCTTCATATTAACTATAATAACGAATTGACAAAATGTTAGGTAATCGTTTACAAATACCTGAATCAGGTCCATCCAAACTTCATCCTCAGCATGAAATGTCATACTAACCGGGTTCCACGCAAATCCACTCAATCCAGAAAACAAATCATGTACCTCACGCCATTTATCTTTCAAGACTTTCTGACGATTTTTAACATTATTTTTTGTTATGGCGACATACCCAACGCTATTAAGATGATCAACTATGTTACTATAGGCTTGGGTTGTCCAGCTTCCGTCAACCCTATTACCGATTCGTGATTCGTCAATCATACAGTGTAGAAGACGTGCATCCATGTCCTCTGTCCACTTCATGAACTCTCTAGTCGGAGCAGAAGACTGACTCGCGGCTGCCTTACCTCTGTTCATTTAACCTATTTCATGCACAAAATAGTAACAAGTTAACATTTAACATTATTAATATTCTGTTCTTGTCATACACATAACACCAAATACTATTACAACACAATAAAATACAATAACTATGAGTTTTGATACTCTTGCCACATATGATCAGCTATAGAATCCCTGATACTACTACCAATCCTATGGTCCTCTTCTCTAACTTGAGAGAATGAAACATTATGATCTTCCCTTTCATTCAACTCATTGTCAACTTCATCAAGTAACGAGTCATCATGATCAACACCACGAAGGAAGTTATGTAAGATACAACAAGCTAATATTATGTCTGTCATTGTCTGCAATCCATAGTGTGGTTCAGTGCCACTTGCAATGATAGGGAATCGTTTCTTCAACACACCAAAAGTTCTTTCTATAACATTTCTCAACGATGAATGTCGATGATTAAACAACTCGCGTGCATTTTGTGGTCCTCTACGTGTATATTCTTTAAGGTGATATCTGACGCCTCTATATGGAGTCAACACTGTGCTTTTCAACATAAATCCAGCATCACCTATGTAATATTTTCCTACAAATTTCCACATATACTCATGATTAGTCAATACTTCAGAAAACAGTGAACATCACAATGTACACACTAACCTTCAGGGATGACCAACGGATCATCTCGTTCAATAGCATTTTTTAAAATTCTTGAATCAGATGCAGTGCCTTCCCACCCAGCAAGAACGTATGTGAATTTCATGTCAAAATCACACGCCGCAAACACATTTTGAGTTGGCCAATCTTTTCTTCCTCGAAATCTCGGAGCATCACTTGTTGGAACGTTAACACGAACATGAGTACTGTCTATGGCCCCTAAACAATCCTAAACATAAAAATATCAAGTCATCATAACACTAAACAATTTCTTATCATCCATTTATGAAAGAACATGTACAAATATTTTTCATGAGTACCTTAAAGTAGGGGTAAAATCGACCATTGTTCAAGACATATGGATGAACCTCATTTCCTGAGGGTTGAATTAGAAATTCAGATTCCAAACTTAAGATAGCATCCAATACATTGTGAAAGTGTCTGCTAACCGTCGAACCCGATCGATGAAAGAAAAATGCGACACTTCGATTCTTAACATTATGCCCAATTATATGAAGAAATTGAGCAACTTGTTGCTCAACTGTGGACCGAATCCCGTCCTTCACTAACCCAGTTGATCTTACGGTGTCACAAAGAGTAATAAATGCCTCTGGACCCATCCTTATAATGTCGCGGCACCGATTAGTATGCACAAGATATGACATTAATTGCTCCCTTCGACGGTCTCTGTCTGGTAGGTAATTGCTTACACTACTCGATTGACTCGTGTACATATTCAAGATATTCAATGCGTGTGCAACAATGCATAACATTGTCAATGCACCTAGTGAAGTAGTTATTTGTAATTGTTGACGTATCATTGCAAGAATATTGAAGTCTACACCGATCACATCGTCATCTATATCTTCACCATCCAAATATGATAAATCTATATTTTCTTCCATCTATATGTTCTTAAACAAAATTACTTACAATTAATAAAATCATGCATTCATATGTTCATTACACATAATTCATTCATTTAAACATTCATATATCATATCTTAATATGTAGAAATAATTTTATACATCAACATCACTACAATAAATAAATATTATACATTAAATAAACATAATACATTAAAACAATACAAAAATATAAAAGGTATCTATATTAACATAATAACTTTTAAAAAAATACAAGTAAAATAACATGCAATCATATATTCATTACAAATATTTACTTCCAACAGTGATTAAAAAATACCTCTTGAAGCCTTATGTTTGATGCAATGAAGAATGATTCTCAACAATTAATATGAACCTTCAATACTGATAATTTCTCCACCAATTTCAACCCTTCAAATAATAAACTTCAAAGTGTCACCCTATTAAAGCAAAGATTAACAACTTTATACATAAAAAAAAACTAAAATCATGAACATCATTGAATTCATGTACTCAACAAATGATATCCTATTTAACAATATTTATACATTCATATAATAATTAATTAAAAACATTATATTTATTCATGAAATAAACCACATTAATTCATAATAACACCACATCATATGTATCATACCTATTCAACAATGTTGTGAAGCTTTGAAGAAAATTTTAAAGGAAGACTTCAGCCAAGATTGAATACGTCTTCAGAGTAACATCCCAAATGATACTACTTTCAAGTGTCAATATTGAAATATAATGATTGGATAATCGTAATGCAACCTGTTAAATAAAGTAATGCAACCTGTTAAATAAAGGACATCCATATATTATATGATATAATGTGTAAAATAAAAAACATAAATTTGTCTTGCATTTACCTTCAAGTCAGTGTATCCACTGTTTGAACTCAATAAATTACGAAACTTAACCACGTTTTGGTACCCAAATTATCAGCCGACACCGACCAAGCTTTTTGGACCTCAAATATGATCTTCAATACAATAACACCAAGTTAATTCGTAAGATACACATCTTTCCACCAATAACAACATTGTGTTTAACACAACTACTACAAACTAAAAATATACAATGAAAAGGTTTTTATCCCTCACTTTTTCTCCTTCCTTAGCCTCTCTGCTATGATGTCACCTTTTCACTTACTACTTTGGGAAGTAAGAAGTTGTTTGTTGGACTGAGAACTGATCAAATTCGTGCTTGAAAAATCATCACCACAACAAACTTGGCCAACCTTTCTGTAATACTTCTACAAATCTAGTGTTGTTGTCGCTAGGGAAACTGTCAAACAACAACCTTAAAAATGAGCAAACTTATTAAAAAATGGAATGGCTGTGTTCTGTGCACATGTGAACACTAACAATCTCTCTACCTTACCAAATCAAGCACCTCCGTAGCTTACCAATACCTCACCAAATGCATCTTCAACTTACATAAACCTGCAACACAAATAATTGGTTAACCTCAATTCAAAAAATACCATAGTTAAGGCTATTACTCTCGGCCTCCTGTGTGCATCTACATCTCCCTCATCTCCCTCCTCCCCTTCTTCGCTGCTTATGAGTATGCCTCCATTCTTAGTGCTCAGACACCACCTCCATCATGTGCGCCGTAGTCGTCAACCCCATAGCCACCAACGCTGTCATGCAGCAAGGTGAGGTCGCTGCAGATTTTCAACGGTGCACCTATCCAACTACAAATAATACAGACACCAAATCCTGCCCAACCGGAGACGACGCCACCACAACGGTCTCACCACACGCACCAACCGAAAATCTTAGTTCATGTTCAACCTTTAACCGGTTACGAGATGTGTAACCGAATACGCATCATTTGCCAAATGCCATCGAAGCTGTAACCGGTTACGGGATGTGTAACCGAATACTACCGTCTTCTGAGTAACCGGTTACGGAACTTGTAACCGATTACCTGCGACCATGGTCTGGATACCCCCTTCTTCAATATTGTAGTGGCTTCTTCCATAACTTCTTCAACCAGTGCTCCTTCCTTCATTTCTCATGTTCATCCGCTTCCTCATCATCAACCACAACCGTCTTCCTCCTCCAACTCTCTTCCTGTTCAACTACATCACACAGCTTCTACTTGCAACAACCACAACAAAATCCAAAACAAGCATTACCTATATCTACTCCCCAGCTGGTCACTCTAAATGCACCACTTAACCACACACACTCGCGCAAAGTTGCTTTTCAGTTCCGTATCTTCAGATGTTCGATGTCTCTATGTAAACACACACATCACTTAATACACACACCCAACTTATCCACCAACCAGCTTCTTATTAATGCTCTGGTCAAAGCATTGTAATATAATTCAAACAGCTTTGGCACAGAACTCTCTACATGGCAGTGAATGGTTCTATCAAGTAGAGAATCTGGCCACTGCAAATGGGCTGAAAAGCACTATCAAAAGCAAATAAACGCATGCCTGCACACTGGGTCATCACATGCACATCCAAAATCCACTGTTTTTGTCAAAGGGTACATAGCTTACTTCTTCTCGTGAAACAACAGTGTGAGATGATAGTTTTTTTTATTTTATTATGGTTGGAATCGATTAATTATAAATGGGAATCGAATAACAAAATAGCCACGTTTATGTTTGGAAAGATGTATGCATCTACAGTGTTTGTACTGGTAGTTCGTACTGCTACTTATAAGGGGCATATGAGTCTTTCTCCCCTAAATCAGCGCAAATCGTCGCAATTTAGCTGAGATGAGATGCACAGTGTTTCGACCAAAATCCTCTCCCTTCCATCGTCGCAAATCCACGCAAATCAGCCCATGAGAACACCACCACTTTTGCAAATCCATCCTTCCCAATCAACGTAAATAGTAAATTCCGTCCAAAGGAACACACCCTAAAGGTAGAGAGCTAGAAGTTTAGTTTTTACAATTCAAAATAGCATCAACTCAACGTGCGATGCTCTGCCACGAGACTGCCACTCTACGCTTGTTCCTATGCGCCCAAGCGTCGCTATTCCTTCTCCAATTCCAAACCTCCAACGTCTCCTCCCCTTTCCCACGTGGCACAAAGAACGAAGCTCTCGAAGCGGCAACCATGATCCGCGACAATCCGATCGAAGAAACTGATTCCAATTCAGATTTCGTATCCCGTCCCTTGGCCTTGGACAATGCAGATAAGAAAACCTCTAGTGGAAGTTCCAACACGCGGCAACATCAAATTGAGCGCGAACACGCCACGAATGTTGTCACTGTTTGTGACAACAAGATTGAGGGCTAGGAGCTTGGACGAGCAAGCCGCGACGCTGGCGCGACGTTGGTGGTGGTGGACTCCTTATAGACATCGAACGAGTGCGGAAGTGGGATTAGATTAGAGTTTTCTGTTATGTGGGGGTGTAGGGGCTACAACAGTAAAGAATGAAAGAGAGAAAGATTAAATAAAATTTTAGATTAAAATAGGTAAAAATAAAATTAATTATTTAAATAAAGTCAGTTTTGTAAATAAAAAAAAATTGGGGAGGTGCAGAGAGGAACCGGGTGGTGGAGGAGTAAACCTCTAATATTATAATTCGAAGCCCAATGGCACATACATAGTCTAAACTTCGGAAAGCGTTAAAATCTCAGCCTTTGGAAAATTGTTAGGCACTTGCTCCCTACACCACCATTGACGGTTTCTAGCACCTCCCCGTTCCTATTTTTCCCTCAAGNTTTTAAAAAAATACAAGTAAAATAACATGCAATCATATATTCATTACAAATATTTACTTCCAACAGTGATTAAAAAATACCTCTTGAAGCCTTATGTTTGATGCAATGAAGAATGATTCTCAACAATTAATATGAACCTTCAATACTGATAATTTCTCCACCAATTTCAACCCTTCAAATAATAAACTTCAAAGTGTCACCCTATTAAAGCAAAGATTAACAACTTTATACATAAAAAAAAACTAAAATCATGAACATCATTGAATTCATGTACTCAACAAATGATATCCTATTTAACAATATTTATACATTCATATAATAATTAATTAAAAACATTATATTTATTCATGAAATAAACCACATTAATTCATAATAACACCACATCATATGTATCATACCTATTCAACAATGTTGTGAAGCTTTGAAGAAAATTTTAAAGGAAGACTTCAGCCAAGATTGAATACGTCTTCAGAGTAACATCCCAAATGATACTACTTTCAAGTGTCAATATTGAAATATAATGATTGGATAATCGTAATGCAACCTGTTAAATAAAGTAATGCAACCTGTTAAATAAAGGACATCCATATATTATATGATATAATGTGTAAAATAAAAAACATAAATTTGTCTTGCATTTACCTTCAAGTCAGTGTATCCACTGTTTGAACTCAATAAATTACGAAACTTAACCACGTTTTGGTACCCAAATTATCAGCCGACACCGACCAAGCTTTTTGGACCTCAAATATGATCTTCAATACAATAACACCAAGTTAATTCGTAAGATACACATCTTTCCACCAATAACAACATTGTGTTTAACACAACTACTACAAACTAAAAATATACAATGAAAAGGTTTTTATCCCTCACTTTTTCTCCTTCCTTAGCCTCTCTGCTATGATGTCACCTTTTCACTTACTACTTTGGGAAGTAAGAAGTTGTTTGTTGGACTGAGAACTGATCAAATTCGTGCTTGAAAAATCATCACCACAACAAACTTGGCCAACCTTTCTGTA